AACAAACGAATAAGCTGAGGTTAGAAGTTTGGGCTACCTGGTTAAAGTACTGCTACTAGTAAATGGAGGCACTAGGATTTGAAACTGCCAAATTTCAAAGCCCATCCTTTTGCCATTGTGTTACTGTGTAGTCATATTTTGCAGGCATTTAACCTGTTTATACTAAACTAGACTTGTAGGCTGCCTTTTCACCCCACCTATACTAAACGACCAGCAGACATCATCAGACCTGAAACAGGGAGTGCACATGGCAAAACCCTGGAAGAAATGTGTAAAGAAAGGATTTTTAGGATTTCCCGGACATTGACAAACGAAAAGCACACAGACAAGTAGGCAGTAATGACATCCTCAATGTTAGGAAGAAATTAATTGAAACCAACAGAGAAATGTAGACTAAAGAACAGTTAGAGGAACTGTGACTGACTCCATCACCAAGGCTGTATCTACAATATGAGCCATTTAGGAATTTTGAAGGACAGTCTTGACTGTCTACTTTTTACATGCTTACGGGATATAGAACCCAACACTGTTGTTTCATGGAGACTTTACTTTCTAACAATCATCATGTACTCCCAGAATGGAGGAAACTAAGAAACCTCTGTAAAAACCATCGATTTTGGTGTTTTCAAGTTGGGAGAGTTTTGTGAGGTGGAGGTGGGTAACATAGCAGATACCATTGTCATTTTTTTTGTCCTGTAGTATACTTTTGATTTTTGGAAAGTTGATTTTAAGTTGTGTTAATTTTTCCCCCATTTGTAGGGCTTCCTAAAGAATGAGAAGGACAATGCCCTGCTGTCTGCCATTGAAGAGTCCCGGAAGAGGGTAAGAAAATTAACCAAAATATAGACGTATACTGATGAGGACAAGAGGGCTGGGCTTTGGTGGTTCATACCTGTAATCCTAGCACTTTGGGAGGCTGATGCAGGAGGATCACTTGAGCCCAGGAATTCAAAATCAGCCTAGGCAACATAGTGAGACATCATCTCTACAAAAAATTAGCTAAGCATGGTGGCACATGCCTGTGGTCCCAGATACTCAGGTGGCTGTGGGAGAATCCCTTGAGCCTGAAAGATGGAGGCTGCAGTGAGCTGGAGTCGCATCACTACATTCCATTCTGAGGAACACAATGAGGAGCGAGATCCTGTCTGAAAAACTAAAACAAAAAAAAAGCAGATGAGGGCAGCAGTGTATACTAGGGGAGTTAGGGAAGCATAGGATTTAGAAGACGGAATCTGGGTCCCATGCTGAGTTCTTTCCTACAGAAAGAGAGCTCTACAGGAACTGCTTTTTGAGAATACCATGCATATAACTCCATATGTGTTTAGTGAACTGAAATGCATCTGAGACACTGGACTGGAGAATTAATTATTACATTAATCTTAAAATGGAAAGACCAAAAAACTCTTGGTTTCGTTGTTATTGTTTAAATGGTATTTTGGTTTCTCCTGAATGAGCAGTTCAGAAAAGCAGCTGTGATCACGACAATTTTCCTCAGCTTCTTTTCCTTTTATTACACAATATGACTGGACCACCTTTTATATTAACAACTTCTCCAAGCTCCTTAAAAAACAACAAAAAACACATAAAGCTCGTTCCATGCTTGAAAAGACAGTAAATAAGTCCTCCAGAGAGCAGCCATTATATGTGCAACAATATTCTGCAACAAACATTCCTGCAAGATACTCCAAGATTGTTTACTAACATGTGAATTATCTCTATTTCTGACAAGGATCCAAAGATCAAAACCTTTCCATAACATCCCATTATAGTGAAAGAGATTTTGGGGCCACTGGGGCGTTTTTGGTGTGAGAGAAGAAAGGTTAGTTGTCCTTGGTTCTAGAAGTCCAGCTTTCCCCAGGAAAGAGGCTTGCAGGGTACATCCCATTAACTAGCAATGGTCGTCTCTGCAAAGGGAGTAGGGTTGAAGTGAGACCTCTGTTTTGCTGTTTACTTATTTAATTCTTTTATCAAGTGAAAATTTATTTGTGTAGTTCCAAAATAATAAAGTGAAAAAATGCTGCTTCTCAGTGTGCTTTATTAAAATATTCTGTGAAGGTGAACGTGTCTCAGTAGCACTGAGGTGAAATAGGGCAGCAGGGAGACTTGCCAGCTCCAATTTATAAGGAAATGTTCCCAAGTCATTATTTAAATAACTGATATGTTTAATTATCGAAATAAAATTCCTGGCCATGCGCAGTGGCTTACACCTGTAATCCCAGCAATTTGGGAGGCCGAGGCAGGTGGATCCCTTGAGGTCAGGAGTTCAAGACCAGCCCGGCCAACGTAGCGAAACCCTGTCTTTAAAAATACAAAAATTAGCCGGGTGCGGTGGCACAAGCCTGTAATCCCAGCACTTTGGGAGGCCGAGGCGGGTGGATCACGAGGTCAAGAGATCGAGACCATCCTGGTCAACATGGTGAAACCCCGTCTCTACTAAAAATACAAA